GCTGGAAACACAGTAAGTGCTAAGGTGTAGCTGCTGTTACCGTACCCAGAATTAATCTCCGCGTGGCAGGGGGTGGAGTAGACAGAAATACCACACTTTTGGGCAAAGCATCTGGTTTCAGTTCAAAAACCTGGGTCTTTGCCACTGTTTTGGCAACAGACTTCATTTCGATGTCTTTGGATGCCAAAGTGGATTAACATCACCTGCCTTTGCTATGCAACAGGGCAACGGTAAGAATCATAACAAGAGGATGTGTTATGAAAGTAGCTTGTAAATATGAAACCATTCATGGAGTTATTTCTGCATTTTGTCTCCTATGGTTGGTCCCCTAGTTTCATTCTTCATATCTATTAGAGCTCTCCAGAGAAACAGAACCAATAGGTGTATATATTATGTAAAAGAAGATTATGAGAAATTGGCTTACAAAAGATTATGGAGTTTCAGAATCCCATGATCTGGCATCTGCAAGCTGAGCCCCAGGAACCTGGTGGTGTAACTCAGGCTGAGTCAGGAGGTCCGAGAACCCCGGGGGGCCAATGTTGTCCCAGTCCCAGTCCAAGGGCAGGAGAAGATGAGAGATCACCCCGCTCAAGCACTGAGGCAGGAAATAAGAAGAGTCAGTGCAAATTCCTCCTTCCCCTGTCTTTTGTCCTATTCAGATCCTCAATGGATTAGATTTACAGAAGCCTCCAAAGTATGAATTTCTTATCTTGTGTAGGAACTACTGCACAGACAGAGGGAGAGAAACTTGAACTTTCTAATGGAAACAAATCATCTTTGGGAAGAAAATGGAGAAGTCCTATGTGTTACAGCAAATGTAAATGAATCCTAGGGAAATAAAATGAGCTAGAGCGATTGCTAACATGGGAGGCCATTTACCATAGAGTATTTAGTAGGAGAAGCAAATGGCAGGGCAAGGTGAGTACTTTTCATAGAAATTTATCTTTATATGACTAAAGCACTGCAGGAGAAAAACAGCTAAATGGTAGCTCTAGTTGTGTCTGGATGGCAGTTTTGGGGACTGAGATTTTTTTCTCTTTTTATGTTTGTTCTTTCTAGCTTTTAAAAGAATGATGGGCGTAGGCATGTGGAACTAAAAGATCCACTTTTTTGGCCATTAGTGGAAAAACTGGGGAAATAGAATAAAGTTTGCAGTTCAGTTCATGGTCTTGTACCAACGTTGATTTCTTAGTTTTGACAAATGTCCTGTGGTTTCCGTAAGATGTTGACATCAGGGAAGCTGGACGAAGGGTACAGGAACGCTCTGTAATACTTTTGTGACTTCTCTGTAAATCTAAGATTATCTCAGAATAAAAAGGCTTAAGCATAAAAATAAAAAAATAAAAAGTGACTAGGTTTTGGAGTCAGGTAGACCTTTGTTCATACACCGTTCAGACCTTCTAGCCAGAGGCGTGCTGGAGTGGATTTAGGAGAGATGACTTCCAACTTCAGGGATTTTGCAGGTCAGCTGTTAGACGTAGACATTATTAAAAATGAAATTTTATAAGTTTACAAATAATTTTTTTAAAAGGTAGTAATTACTTAAAACTCCTCATTTCCTAATGATTTAGTAGAGTCAATTCTTGTTACCTAAGGTAGTTACGTTCTATAAAGTCTTTGCACACACTGAATTAGTGGGACAGTAATAGGACCCTTGCTCCTAGGGGACATAGATTCCTGCAAGCCTCCAGTCACAAGATTTCAATCAACTATCAATACATAACCTTGTTTTATATGTTCTGTTTACAGACGCCTCCTTTAATAGATATACTGCTGGTTCATTAACACTGAACTCAGTTCCACAGCACTATAACCTGTGCCTGGAGGAAGCTTATTGACACCTATTTTCTCCATAAGGCACATGGCAGCCTTCTCGGACTTAGGAACACTAGACAGCACTTTAGCACTATGCTTGGGGGTCATTGTTAACATCAAGATTGCCAACAAAAAGCACAGAAATGTAGAAAATGTGGCAATAAATAAAACTGTGAAAGGGATACTTGTTTACAATATGAGCTGAAAGAAGGAGGGGTTGCCTTGTTTGACCTCAGCTGAAAACACGCACATTGGGCAAATTAACTTTTTCACTGGTATGACAATCTCCATGAATGACCATGAAAACACAGTGAGCATTGATTTGGGGGTTGCAAATCAATTTTAGCAAGGAGGGGACTTTGCAAATACGGCCCCTGTGAAGAAATGGGGATCGACTGCATAGTTTACTATTATCCATGCGCGTGAGGTCGTTCACCTCCATTGTATCTGTTTAGCGGAAATATGATGCCACTGTGTCACCGTGGATCTCTTCCCAACTGTTGTGTGCAGTGACGTCACCCTAGTTGCTTGAAACTGGTCACAGTGGGAGCATTTACACCACAGCAATTGGCAAATGCTATAAATCTGGCCTTGATTTGTTGATTGTCTGGATTTAAGAAAGTGATGGAGAAAATGTAGATTAAATTTAAAACTCTAGTATCTGGAGCCATTATATTGCGAATAGTGCAAAAAATTGAGGAAATATTCTTTCAGTATTCAAAAACTACAGTCCTGAATCGCAGACTGCCTATACACTGCCTAACACTATCTGATTCAGCAAAGTAGTCACTTAACGATTGATGAATAAGTGACATTCTGACATTTATCATCGTTTTAAATTCATCTTAATTAATACTGCAATAAAACTACAACAATCATGCCAGAACTTTTTAAAAAAAAATTTTTTTTGAGACAGGGTCTTGCTCTGTCACCTTGGCTAGAGTGCAGTGGCATGATCATAGCGGATCGCAACTTCGAACTCCTGGGCTCAAGCCTGCCTCAGCCTCTCAAGCAGCTGGGGCTACAGATGCACACCACCGCGGCTGGCTAATTTTTGTATTTTTTGTAGAGACGGGGTCTTGCTATTGCCCAGGCTGGTCTTGAACTCTTGGCTTCAAGTGATCCTCCCACCTTGGCTTCCCAAAGTTCTGGGATTACAGGCATGAGCCACTGCATCAGACCTGAGAACTACACTCTTGTCAATTGCAACAACAGGTTAGCTAAGAAAATCAAAGAAAGTGTTTTTTGAGAATCAATTGCCAAAAGGAATTTACAACACAGTATTAGGTATTATTATTGTTAAGTTGTGTCCTACACATCCTTTATCAGGGACATTTATAATTTCAACGCATTCATTTCCAGGTAGCTGGTTGCCTAAGCAGCGCACCACTGCTTCTAGCTAAGTGATCCAAATTACTTAACCGCCAAACTTCAATTTTAGCTAGATGTAAAACAAAGAAGAATAAACATTCCTTCCTTGCATGATTTTGAGAATTGAATGCATTATTTTCCCAATGCATTGTTTCCAGGTAGGGACTCCATGAACCTCAGTCCCCTTCTCCTTGCCCACCTCACCTGGAGGACAGAACCAGTGGCTGACTCATCCCAGCGCACACTCACCCCACCTTCCCAGTGTAGCCCCGGGGAGCTGCATGTTTGGACCAAATAGACTCCTTTACAGGCAGGTGAAAACTCACCACTAGGGGGCGTGAGCAAGATGCCTTTGATGGCTTCGGTCCTTCCGACAGGATCCCTGATTTGGAATACAGTGACGTATTACCCTCCCAGCTATTACCAGGCTAGACAGAAGATAAATGTTTGAAGTCTGCAGTCACGGTGCTGTGTCCAGAGAATTCTAGCCTGGCGATCAGTGTTGGCACCCTGAAGAAAAAAATGTTAACCTCTGAGCCCCACTTTGAATAACTATAAAACGAGTTAAATTTCATCTTCCACCAGCCTTGTCTTCCTAGGCACAGTGTGCTGTGACCGCTGCTGGCTGCTCAATACTGCCCATCATCGTGATCTGCAAAGGTAGGTCTCAACTAATGAGGAGCAGCCAGGAAAGCAGCCCTCCTCCGGCACCCCGTCTTCCAGCCAGATCTCTCAAGACCAGCATTCACAGTTTGTGCGTTACCTGCTTTTCACAGGGAATGTGCATTAAACCAGGCTCTTCTGGAAACCGATGCTTGAAGGAGGTGATTCCATTGGTGGCAACCTTGGGCAGGGCTGCAAAGAGCTAGATCAATGACAGCGGAGAGGTCTTCCAGCATCTCCCCCCAACCCCCACCCTGTCACCTAGGACTGGCCCTGGGTATTCCTGGAGGGGCAATTTACTTTTTCTTTTGAGGGGAGTTGACCAGTGACTCCTCCCTAGTGTCTCAGCGAAGTCTGCAAGGGCGCACCTGCCACCTGTTGGTGCAAATGCTCACTCCTGAGCAAATGGGACCTCACTTGTTAAACTCCCAGGCTCCTATCTGTTCAGCTGTCCCACTGGTGGGGACTCTCTCTCAACCATTTTCCTCCTTAAAAAGCCAAATACTAAACATCACCATTTGAGAATGAAAATAATAAACACCACCTTGATTAGTTTTCTCCCTGCATGAGATTCACAAATAGAGATTCTGTAGGGAAGCCGTTGACCGTAAACGTAGCTGGCTTAATTCATTTCCGCCACTCTGTCCTATGTTCCGACGCCCCCATGAATGATTTTGATGATTAGTTTTACAATCTGGGACGATTCTGGCCATTCTAAGAATATCTCTTTGAAGCTCTTCCAAGATGGATCAATACTGAACATAAAACGTCAGTTTCTTGTAAAGTGCAGACATCTCTCCTCACCTGAAACACAATCAAAGGTTACTTTGTGTTCTTGAATGACACTTAAAGACAAAGATGGATTTTAAGGATTTTAACCACAGTGGAAATTCCCAGGTGTCTATGTGGTGGTCTTGAAATACGAGTCCCACAGCTGCATTTCAGATTGCAAGGAATGAGTGACAAAGTCTTACTAGCAATTTTGAAACAGGAAATGGCTCAGAGTGAATTCAAAGGACCACAAAAACAGTCATTTTTTTTTTTTTTTATCTTCAGAGTTTATTTTTGAATTTTCATTTTTGGATAACCAAGCAGCTCTTTAAGGAGAATGCACAGAAGGGTCATTCTGGCACTTTTGGATAGCACATAAGATTTTTTTTAATAGTCACATTCAGCCCACTTGCTCAGTCCATACTCCCATGTTTGGTGAACAAGATCAGCCCAAAGGATTCCAGAGTTAATACGTCACCGTATATATACAAACAGCCAATAAAACCATAATGGTGGCTAGTGGCCAAAGGGACAGGGTGGGGAAGGGCATCTCTAAAGTGTCCTCTCGTCTATCTTAGCTAAACAGAATCCACGTTACACATGATAACTAGAGAGTACACTGCGTTGAGAGGAGGATGCTGGGCCCCATGGCACTTGGCCGCATGCAGTTTAAAGAAAGGGATTATCATTGAGTAACTTTATAAAATCCAGGCAGTTCAGTTAAAGGGGTTCGGAAAACCAACAAAAGCGAGGGACTGTCTGTTGTCACTGTAAAAAAGGCACTTGGAGTTAATGGGACCAGAATCGAAGGACTCTTAGCTGATAAAAAATCTCAGTACGATTTCATTTAAAAGGCTTGGATGTTAAGAGATGACACTCAGGAGTTCCCGAAGGGAGACACTGAAATAAACCACTGAGAAGGAGAACAGATTAAAACACAGGAATGAAATTTTTACAACCAAATTGTATTTGAAAAGAAAAAAAAAAAGAAAAAAAGGAAAAGGAAAGGCAAACCCCAAAACAAAACCTAACCAAAGCAAGATCTAAGCAACGAAGCAGCAATGCATAGCTTTCCTTTGAGATAACGCATTCCTTGAAGACACTAAGTGCCAACCGAATTTCTCAATAATAGCTTCACAGTAGCATTATTGGGATAAAATTGATTCAAGCAATGCAAAAAAGAGTTTCATCTGTTTCCAGAATCTGAGGGAGAACTGAGGTGATCGTTGGAGTGTAGCGACATCACGCGCGGTTTTCTCAGCGTCCCCGGAGGTGGACACGTCGAGTCCGTGGACGACTAACTGGACACTGCTCTCGGCCGCCTCCCTGGAGGGGCGGCGTCCACCAGAGTCATCCTCTATTCTGAGAAATAACCGTAATTCCGCTCTGACATGTGCACAGCAAACGGTAATGCAGTGAACGTCCACTTCCCACGGTGGCCGCTCTTCAATTTCCTCCACAAACAGGTACGCGCTTCCATAAGAAGGGATATTTGGCAATGGTATATTCCGCAGGCGGGTGGCTCCGTCATTTAATGTTAAATGCCATCAGGGGTCTCTCCTCCCGTTTCTGCCAGGGGCTCTTCTTGTCTTCTCCTTGGTCGTCATCATCATCTTCGTCTTCGTCTTCCTCGTGAGCAGATCTTCTCTGGCGGGGACTGGCTGGTGGCTCCGCGGGGACGTCTGCAGTCCGTTTGGTCGTCTCCTCCTGCAGGCTGGGCAGCTGGCCGCCGCTTCTCCGACCCGCCCCTTCCAGCAAGCACCGCAGGGCACTGTCCTCGGGGGTGCAGACCGTGGTCCCGCACTCGCTGCTGCTCTGGTCCATGTCGTCCAGGTACACGAGCTGCGTGTAGGCGGTGCTGTCCGGGGCTCTGGGCTCTTTCTGCTGGTGCTCCTGGACAGGTGGGTGGCTCTGCTGCAGAGACAAGGGGTCTCCCCTTCCCTTCCGGGCAGATTTTGGTTCATTCATGTCCACACCAGAGTCCAAACTGGCGTCGTTACTTCCATTCCTTCCAGCTCTTTGGAGATCAATGTACGAATGTCTAACGTGAGCGTTGGACCTTCCGTCCAGGGACACGAACCACGCCCGGGGGTGTGGAAGTGGCTTCCCTCCCCCAAGTTCCATCAGCGCCTTTTCCGTCAGGAGCTGCACCTCGCTGTTCATCTGCGCCAAAGCCGCGTCATTCAGGGACGCCGGGATGGAGAGGGACTCGGACATGGACGCGGTCTGAGGGCTCCACTCCCGCGTGCCCGCGTCCTGCAAGTGCTGCTGAGAGATGGCCTGCGACGACAGGGGCTGGGGCTGCATCTGCGCGGACGGGTGCGGGAAGATCCCCGCGTGGGGGTTGGCGAGCTCAGCCTGGAGTCTTTCTATGTCAAGCTGTTGGTCGGCGGGGACCACGAGAGGCTGGCTGACGTAGGAATGGTCCCCTGGGAGTTTCATATAATGGGCGGGGATGACCAAGGCGGGTAACACCTTCCTGTAAACGCTGTCATTGACCTGGTCCACGGAACTGCAGCAGATCAGCTGGCCCGGCCTCGGGAAAGACGTGGGTCTCTCGAGGTGATCTACCGACCGCGACATCATACATTCAGCCGGTCTGCGGTCCAGCAGCTGTTCCTTCTCAGGAGATGAAGGCGCAGGATAAAGATGTTCTTGGATGGTGAGTTTACTTCCCGCGGGTGTCGGATCTTCTCTGTCCTGCTTGTCAAACAAAGGCTGCGGGAGCACAGCGTTGTAACTCCCCCTGTAGTCTTCGTTGCCAGGGGACTCGTACCCTTCCCTGTCTACAGACTTTCTTGCCTTTAAGGGAAAAATCTCCACGGACTTATGGTAATCTTTCCCCAGCGTCCCACTCGGCGTCAAGTTATCAAAGGAGATTTGACTTTTATCTTCTTCCTTATGAGAGAGGAGCTCCTCCCGAGAGCTGAATTCTTGGGAGGTGCTGTAGGAGAGCTTCAGCATGGGTGTGTGCAGGTCCCCCTCTGCGCTGGGCGACATCATTTCTAAATGCACTCCGCTCATCAGCTCCTTTGCGCCCGGGGCCTCAGGGCGGCCGTGGCCGGTGACAGACAGTGGCCCAGGGAATTCTGACGCCCGACGTGAAAACAGCAAGTTGATGTGTGACATGGAAGTGGATTGATCTCTTTTGGAGCTCTCGAGGGCTGCGGGAAGCTGCAGTTTTCTGTGGTGCTGACGGGGTTTCAAGCACTTCCTCCTGCGACCAAGAGACACAAGTCAAACCCAAAGATTAGAGATTCTCGTGGTGGAAAAGTTTCAAGTTTCCTGTCAAATCCTAATTCTCAATTTCCACGGGCAGGAATAAAATAACTAAATTGACAGCCAGAAGCCTTCTCACCCCACACTCTGTCCTTATTTTAACCCAGAGCAGGAGAATCTTGGGATTTCACCTTCAGGCGTTTATAAGCCAAGTTATTAATTCGAAAGGGGCTACCCAAGAGCTGACGGTAAACATTCTTGCAAACTAAACAGATATGGCATCAAAATAAGAATAGTTCTCCTTTTCCCTTGAGACTATCATCTAGTAACCAGCATTTAGAAACACTCTGAATAAATCATATGTCAGTTGTCAAACTTTTTAAAAAATAACTCCCCTTTTAAGCAACGTTACCCACAGCATGCCTTACACATCCTGTTTGTTCATTCGTTCATTAGATCACACATTTGAGTGCTCAGGTACGTTTTCACAGGTAGGAAAAGCACCTCGATTTAGAAAAACAAAAGAAAAAACACCCCTCCATAACAAGGCTTCCAAATATCAACTGCACAAGAAATTCTAGATTAAGAGAGAGATTGCCAAAATGGTAACACTTTACCTGCAATAATACAAAAGCAGACACAGCAAAACCAAAAGTATGAAAGCCATTCCTCCTAAAATGGCCAAAAGAAACACCGTGTGATACGTGGTAATGTCCTGTGTTACAACGGGACCTAGAAGGTCAGAAAATGGCATTTTAGATTTTTGAATACCTTGAAAATAAAAAGAGGGATAATTCATCGAGACTGTAACATCTTCTTACTTTTCCTGGCTGGGGCACAGAGCAGTGGCCAGTGGAAAACACCCTTGGGATGATGTGCTCTCGGTTCTACTGTCAATCACTTCATTCGACGATGAACACGACTATTATGGGAGCTTCTGTGGCCGGTGGCACTTGGAATACTCACATATGAAATGTCGTTGTGTCAAGGGGTCCTCCTTAGCCAAGAAGTGAGCCTCTCTTGGTAGCATGTGCAACATTCTAAATACATGCTCTTTTTTTTCTTTTTTTGCCACTGTTTTATCAACTAATACACGTTCTTTTAATCGAAGAAAATGAACGCAGGATAACGTTACCAGTGGGACTCTCACATTCAGAAAGCTGGCCTGAGTATCTGGGATTTCATATTGTAAGAAAAAAAAAAAATCATACCATTTTGGTCTCACTTTTCCTGAGCAGTCAATTATTATTGTGTAGAGCGATCTTTGCCTAAATGAATCAGTTTAAACGCATGAAATAAATTTTCTATGACTTCATCAGCAACTTAGTACAGAGTGTCAAGGGTGACTCAGGTGGTTTCCATCTTTAAAAATATAATCTTCCTCTGCGATGCCTTTTCAAAATAGCTAAACTTACATGGCTACAGACCTCCTTAGAACCTACAGATAAGGTTACCAGAGATAAAAAATATTTTCTTTTGAATTCACATTGTAAAGAATACCAAGAGATAGTTCAATTCATACTCTTTATGTTTGATAGTAGTACAAATCTATCCTAATGTTACTGACAACGGATTGACAACAACCTCCCCAAATGATAATATTTGGGCATTTATCGATGTCCAGGTACTCTGACAATATACAAATATATGGGAAGGAACAAATTGTCCTTTCACATGACTTCAGGGTAACATGGTTGTAATTACTAGACACCACAATCATTCACTTATTTTTGCTTTTTCATCTTCTAAGAAGCAGATTTCTTAAAAAATCTTTTTAAGGAGACAAATCTCTTCATTTAAAAGCTAGATAAACTCAAGGTTTCCCAGTTTTTGAAAATAGTGACATTACTTAAGTTCAAGAGATAACCCACTCTCTTTCAAATACAATTTCCTTCAATGGAGTAGGAAGATGAGGTTAAAGTTAAGAAAATTTGTTAAAATAGCTGACACCTCTATACTGCCTGACTTGTTCAGGGAAAGGACTTTTTATACAAAGACGACCTCCACGGACACGGGCAAAGCCTTGTCAGAAGTCACCAAGAAACCCGGAGCACGCTTAAAGACATTTACCAAGTAACCACAGCTTGGTGCTTTAAGTACTCAAAGTGTTACTAGCTCTGCCAGTGGAATTCTTTATAAAACCCAAAGCCATACTTCACTTCCTTCTTAAACAGAGAATTAAGGAAGAAAACCCTAACTATTTTCTTTTTGGTTTCGGGCTCACGAAAGCACAGCATCACTGTAATTTGTTTTATTGGAAGTGATGGCTGTGAGATTGACAACATACACATCCCCGTGTTAAACACCATCAGGGGCTGTGCTGTGCGTGCTTTTTATAGCTTTGCGTCTCCTCCTTCCCTGCTAGGAAGCTTCCAGGGGACCTGCGTGTGGCAGTTCCTGCTTCCCTCCTTACAAAAGCACGTAAAAATCTGCTGCGTGCTGGGAAAACTGATAGCCAAGTTTATTTGAAATATATCTAAAATCATAGTTCACTTTAATGCATGGACTTTGTAGCCTCTACTTTGGAAGAAAGGAGTTTCTTTTCCTTCCTCCCTCCTTCAATCATATTTTAGATATTTTAAATTTGGAGAATGGGGCATTTCTATACCTGGTTCATGCTTGTATTGCTACAGAAACAATATCATCAAGGGAAACACATTACTCTTAAAACACAGATGTGAAGTTTAAATTCTCTTAGTGTGGGAATATAACATCCATGTGACCTATCTTTCAACACCTGTCTAGGAACAGCCTCCATCAAATCAGTTACTTTGGGAGTCTAAGTGCTAATTCCAGTGATAATTCCATTGCTAAAATATTTGGAACTTTCATTGCGGAACTGCCTTCATAGTTAATTTACAAGAGATAACTTTCTAATTCACAGCACATTTTGACCCAGCTCAATCACCTATCTATTCACCAGTTTTGGACATGCATGATTTTTAGATGTGTAGGAGAAAATATCAAAGGCCCCCTCTCGGCCTAAAGATTTGCCACCAATGAAGAGATTTGCTAATGAAAACAGCCCAAGTAACACGGATTCTAAAGGCACCTTCAGCAAAGAAGAAAGCCATCGCTGGAAATAATTCCCCCGAGATGACTATTTTAAAAAAGAACAATTCTGGAATATTCACTGTGGGTAAGATAGGTTAAAAAATAAACTGTTTGTCACATTCTGAGTGACATCTGAGATATGAGTTAATACAAATATCCTAAACAGAGGTGAATATTCTTTCAGACACGAAGTAATTGGTTTGCCTTTAGACCTTTTGGAAATGCCCAACCAACGTTTTTTGCCCCAGTGGTGACTTTCTTCTGGAGCCTCTGCTTTTCCCTACTTGTTCACTCAAACCAGACCACAGCTGTTTCAGGAATTAGGGAGGAGGTCCTACCCGCCTCCGTGGGCTTTTGATTAAGAATTCCCTAAGGCAGCTGTCTGAGCAAAACAGGGACACGAGACAAGACTATTTTCCATGCATTATTCTTATCCTGGATGGGAGAGTTCCAGCCAGAACTCCCCCACCCCCACGAAATACCTTATCGTCATCACTTCACTTTCAGACTTCCGACCATTTTTGAACAAGATGTGATCTCCCTCCTGAAGTTATTTTTCAAGAGCACACTTAGTCTGAACCCTCAAAGACCAGACAAATCAATCCACATCATGGCAAGTGTTGGCCTCATGTTACCTGGCACGGGAGGGGACATAGCTGCCACCCAGTACCCCAACTGGGGGGCAATGTACGTCCACGTCGGCTGGCTGCCTTCCTGGTGCACGAGGCCCAGACCGCTCTTCAGCCACGTTCCTGTGGGATTGAGAAAGGAGCTTTAGTGACATGCACGTTAAACTCTTACTGAAGCCTTAAGCCCATTGTAAAAGGCACCTTCAATCTCATGTTTATAACCCGGAAGGTGACCCAAGTGGCCAAACTCTCACCTAGGGACCACACACGGCTTCCAGCAGAAATTCTTTTCAACTTCGCTCCAGGAACAAGGTGGGCAATTTTAGTTTTACTTTGCATTCCCAGTTGAAGTCCTTTTAAACCACTTTATCAAACATCTCTCCTCCCAAACACAGATAATTTTAGCAAGAAGCCTTTGGAGTTCAGAAGTAGAATAAAGGCAGCATGATGGGGTTGGTGGAGTGGGGAGGAAGGACCAGGGAAATCCAGCTGTTTATGTTCTTCATCCTCGAGCAAATAAGCAAACTTCTCATCCCAAACTGCAGACTGCCTGTATCAAAATTACTTAGGGAAGTTTAGAAATATATATATAGATTTCTTGATCCTATCTTGGCAAATTCTGACCCGGTAACCCTGGCTTAAGTGAGTATTTTAAAAAGCTCCCAGTTGGTCTTGATGCAGGGAAATATCGAATAGGTCAAAGCCTGTGCTCCATCTTCCAATTACCACTTGAGTGTTTAACATACATGAACACCTGCTGCGCACTGGCTGGTCACAGTACGTTTTAGACTCATTATCTAGAATTCTCACAACAACCCTACAGAGCAGGACTTATTTTCCCTTTTTGGATGAAGACACTGAAGACCGGTGAGTTGTAAAACTTTTCCGAGGCCTCCGGGTTGCACAGAGCAGAGCAGGAACAGACCTTAGGGCTGTCTGGCCTCTGCTTGACCACGCTGCGTTTCCTACAAACCTTCTCAGCGTCTCATTGTATTTTTACTCTGTGAAGTTTCTAGGAGCAGACCCGTTGAAGAAGATTAACTTGCCCAAGGTTGTTGGACAGTTTCCCAGCCAAGAACGAATGCCTTTTGCTGGGCCGACCTGCTCCCCTACAGAGAACCCTGCGCCGAGGCCTGTGACGGAAGCTGTGGGCAGAAGGCAAGGGCCAGTCCAAGGGCACGAGCACCCGCCCTGACCCGCCCGCACGGAGACGTCGCTGCCTACACAGGGCTCTGCACAGCTCACCGGGCTCCTAAGGTCATCCCCACCTGAAATGGACTTGTGGGTGACCCTGCGGCACTCAAGGCCTAAACTGACCAACCGTGCGCCAAATCCATTCACGGGTCATTTAATGATGGGAATACATTGCGAGAAAAGCATTGTCGCTGTGTGAACATCACAGAGTGTCCTTACAGGAATCTAGATGGTTCACCTACTACACACCTAGGCCGCATGGTATGGCCTATTGCTCCCAGGTTACGAACATGGACAGCAGGTTGCTGTGCTGAAAACTGCAGGCAATTATAACACCATGGTATAATAAATATTTGTGTAGCGAAACAAATCTAAACATAGAAAAGGCATAATAAAAATATAATCTTATGGTACCAATGTTGTACATGCAGCCTGACATGCAGCCTGTCGTTGACTCAAACGTCATCATGGGATGCACGACTGTCTTTCACCCCCAGGTCTGCAAATGCTTGCCTTTCCTAGCTACGCACATCACGGAGGTGGCAAGGGTGGCTCCCCAGCCCCACCCCCCAAAGGAAAGAAACACCACTCCGGCTGCTTAGAGGCCTGACTGGTTGCCATGGCAACAGTCAGAGGCAGTGGGTGGAAAGGTGCCTGTGGTGATGCCTCCCCGGCAGCCCCTCCTCTGCTCCCACCACCGCCCACACAAGGGGAGGGCGGGAGAGCCGGCATCAGCAGACTCTGCATCCTGACCTTCCCGGGCCCCGGGCCAGGTCGCCCCTCCACAGGCCTGGGGTTCAAGTTAGAGCAGAACATAAACAAGGAGGTTTCTAACATGAGCACGAGAACCAGGATGCTCAATCCAGATCCACGTCCTGAAGCGAACGCACCCACCCAGAAACTGTTCAGCTGCTCGGAGGATCGCTCGGTGCCGTACTGTACTAAGGAAACAGAAAGAGAAGACCTTTGACGCATTAAGAAAAGGGGTTTCTCTGCTGGGTAAGAAAGTTTCCCTGAAGGCAGAAAACGGGTAGTTTGTGCTGGGGCTTCCATACCCCCCAACCCCCCCTACCCAGCTCGTGGCTTACGTGCCTTTCCCACACCCCCACGCTGGCCCATGACAGCCCCGCCGTCGGCATCTCTGCACCAGCCGGGAAGGGGCTGTGCACGCTCGGGTTTGCAGTCTTCCCCACGTCAGGCAGCGCCAAGGAATGAAATTCTGCATTACGGACGTTTCTAGATCATTGGTTTTCAAACAGCTTTTAACGCATTTGGAATTTTTCTCTTTAGTGGAATCTTAAGCAGAAACTAATATACGAAACAGATAAAAGGTAAGCCTCTCTGAATGAGGGTCAAGTCTCCCCAGCCCCCAGCAGCAACCCCCAGGACACCCACTGAGCACAGTCTGGAAGTTACTCTTCTATATAACTTGAGTCTTACTTGCCAACATGTGAAAAGGCAATTTATAAAAATTCTAAAAAGTATCATTGACACCTGCCTTACAAAAGTGTATTCAATTTTGATTTTTCTTGATAATCCAGGGCCATGATTATAATCAACTAGAATGCTAGGTTCTAACATACTTTCGCTTTCTTTCTTTTTTTTTTTTTAAATTTCAGAATATTACGTGGGTACAAACGTTTTTGGTTACATGATTTGCTTTTGTGCAGTTTGAGTCAAAGTTATATGTGTGCCCATCACCAAGATAGCATGCATTGTACAGCCAAGGAAATAATACATAGGGTTCTAACACATTGATGCCCTTAGGAATAAAGAGCTGGGAATTACAGAGTTGTTCTCCTAAATATCTCTACCTACCCTCATGATTATTTCCCTGCCCTCAGCTCTGTCTCCCCACCAGCAACAACCCCCCAACTTCCCACCCAGGGCAGGGTACTACAGGAAGACAGACAACTTTCCTCATTCCAATTGTCTGCAATAACATACGTGGGCAGTGTGACAGATGGGAGAACAAAACCAGATCTGGAACACTAACATTCTGAATCCAAGTTCAGCATTGTTTTTCTTCAACACCACACCCTGTGATCAGTTTTCGTCTGAATTGTCATTCTTTAGAATTAAACCTTACGCAATGGAAAGAGTCAGAGATCTTTTCAAGAATAAACAGTTTGTTGAAATAGCATCCTAATTTTTTGGAAATGAGTTAGTTATGTATTCGGCTGGCAAAGCTCACTGCGTAAAGTGCCATGAGTTCTTAATTTGGAAGCTACGTTTAACGACAATGATTATTACACATATTAATTGACAGGCAGGAAAAGATACACCTTATGCTTGCCTGTGAGATCCGACGGGGTCTTCCAGCAATCACCAACGGTGCCACTTTCATGCTGGCTTACCAAGTGATGATGGAATTAGCTTTTATTTGCAAAATGTCAAGAAAAGTGAGCTCAAAAATTTACGAAAAAGGGCCCAAAACACAATGTCTAGTTTGAATACAAACTAAGGAGATCAGATTTACCCTGCTTTCCCTGCCAGGAACGTTTACGCTGTCCAGAGACCCCTCTGTGGAAGCCACATTACCTTTCTCAACATTTGGTAACAAACGGAAAGACCTGGTATTATGAGCACTATTGATTTTGAAAAGAAAACTGATAAAGTGGAACCTACATTTTAACAGAATATATAGTGATGTGGACATCTTGCACTTTCGCCAATGAACAGGAACACAAGTCGCTGCTTTACACTGAGACATGTCACCATGTCAGACCTCGGAACACTGGGCAGATAAACACCCAGCACTATAAAGAGTCAACAGACCGCACGGATGACTTCCCGGGCACGAATTCCAGCTTTGCCACTTCCTAGCTGTGCGAGCTGAAGATGACACAGTAGAGGAACTGGGCGTCGTCTGTGATGTCGATGAGCCACTGCAGGGATCCTGGAGCTACTCGCTCCACATTTCTTTTGTCACGTGAACAATAAAAGGCCTTGTCATTGCAACACTTGTGGGTGGGTGTTCTACCTCTCACAGCTGATGTATTTTAACGGATGCATTTTTTTCCTACAAGAGGCTGGAGTGAGTTCTACTAGGTCTATGACCTGGGACTCAGGAAGGAATTTCACAGCCACTCAAAAATCCCCTTGCAAAAAGTTCTATCAATTAAAAGGTGATTATTCACACTACACGCTGTGAAATATAGCCATTTCTATTCCTACACCTAAATTTTCACTGTAAAGTATCTGGGAACATTTAGGATGAGAGGTGAGGTCATCTGTACTAGTGCAGGTATGAATTTAGAGAGAGGAACCTGCTTCTCCTCCCCGGGCTGTGACAGCTCTGGATGAGTGACTTGCATGCAGTGAGCATCAGCTCACCTGAGGAACAAACATCTTCAAAGGTATGCATCTGTCAGATCCACGCAAACACCCATCATCATCATCATCATAATCATCAGGCCTTTCCAGATCATTGAATATGTTGGATTTCTCTAAAAACCAGATGACTTACTTTTCAGGGCTTTCATCTGCATTCTCTTAAGCTATAACATCTACTATAATTTTCTACTATCTATCTATATATATAGAATTATCAAGGTCTAAGTCTACTTTATTGTATGCTGTAACAAAACTGGCACAAGATCCCACTAAAATCAAAATATAAAAATCCGTCAGCCCTTAAACCACCATTCATCAGTATGGCAGAAACAGCAGCAATTTCTACATTTATGATATTGTATACAGTAGCCTTTTTTTTTTTCAAATTAAAGTCTGTGGTTTTGAATAGCTAGGTTTCCTTCTCTGGAATTATTTTTCCATGAAATCGGTGAGGAGTAAACATTCCTTGTTAATTATATAGCAAAGTATTTGCCTGGTGGTCAATTATCTAATCATTCTTGCTGAAAGCAATCAAACTGGAGAGCAAGAGTTATGTGCAGATGGTTGGATTCTTATAGCTCTGGGCAAGTACA